GAGTGTCTTTGCGTGTGGCGTGCTCACTGTGTGCAGGTGTCGAGTGTCTTTGCGTGTGGCATGTGCCCTGCAGTGTGCAGACGTGGAGTGTCTTTGCGTGTGGCGTGTGCCCTGCGGTGTGTCTTTGCGTGTGGCGTGCTCACTGTGCGTGGCGCTCGCACCCCCCCATCACTGTACTGCACTTGGTACTTCAGCTGGAAGAGGGTGGGGTCGGTCCAGCTGGGCGGCGGAGCCCACTCCACGGTCAGCCTCCTGCTGGAGCGCAGAGTCACCTTGATGTCCACAGGAGGATCAGGCTTGACTGGGAGACAGGAGAACGGGAGGAAACATTTTCCACAAAACAGCCATTGCAGTCGCAAGAGAAGCACCCCCCCCCGGATCCCGGGAATCCCTATCCAAAGGACTGGGATCGTTCTGGGGTCGGTCAGAATTTACTGAGCAATGGAGTAAAACAGAAGCCTCAGCCCCTCCGCCATGCCCCCCCCCCCGCCGCCTCTGACTGTGCAACTCAGGCGATAGACAGCTCTGCGAGAGCAGGAGAGCGCAGGAGAGGCACAGTCCAGGGCAGCTCTGCTCGGCCAGCCTCACCACCCTCCTTCAGCTGAGACAGACCCCAGACATCAGGTCTCAGCAGTGTGGAGAGACAGCAGTGTGGAGAGACAGCAGTGTGGTGAAACAGCGGTGTGGTGAGACAGCGGTGTGGTGAGACAGCAGTGTGGAGAGACAGCGGTGTGGTGAGACAGCGGTGTGGTGAGACAGCGGCGTGGAGAGACAGCGGCGTGGAGAGACAGCGGCGTGGTGAGACAGCGGTGTGGAGAGACAGCAGTGTGGAGAGACAGCAGTGTGGTGAGCCCGTCACGCTGTAGTACAGGCGCAGCCACACCCTCCTGTCACGAGCCCCACGGCGTCCCTCGCTGGCTCACTGACCCTAGCCCCACCCCCTGCTGAGAATGGAAAGCAAGGTGGGGTAGATCCCACCCTCTGCCCTGACCGATTTTCTCCAGTATGAAAGGCAGCAGCCGGGTGGTGCTCCCGAGCGCGTTGGTGGCGGTGACGTTGACGAAATACGGCTCGACAGAGAACATCTCCAGGTTCTCCATCACACACGATCTCGGACGCTCTGGGTTGACCTCACAGGGGATCTGAACTCCCAACAGACCCTTCCTGCAGACAGAGTGAGACAGTACGCGTGTCTCAAAACTGGGACAGGTGAGGGTAAGACGTTCTTAAAAGATTTCAGCCGTGCGTAGACCATAGTGCTGAAATGAAAACAATGCACAATCTCTGTAGTAGAAGAGGACAATTTTGTTTCCGTACCTGTAGGTGGCAGTGTAGGATGTGGGCAGATCGGGCTCAGGCTGTACTTTCCAGGTGCACAGCACCCTCTGTGGGTAGCTGGGGGACCAGCATTGCACGTCAAGCTGGGGAAGAGAGTCTAGGTGGAGACAGAGGCGTCAGAGACAGTCCAGTCTACAGGAACAGAAAGACAGACAGGCCAGCCCTCACAGAGGAGCAGGAGGACACAGAAATGAGCAGAGACACACAGAGCAAACAGACACACGGTGTGGCCGCTGTGAGGGAGTGACACAGCAGGTGTAGTTGCTGGTGTTAGTGAAGGGGAAGACATCGCCTGAGCCGAGATCCTTCCCATTAATCTTCTATTGCACCTCTCCTCCTGCAGGGCTTGAAGCCAGCAAGCTCACTACTGCACGTAGCACTGAGGCAGAAAGGGGACAGAGCATGAAAGACAGGTAGAGGATTAACTGGAGAAAATAGCAGCATGCACACAAAGACACACACAATGCAAGAGGAGGCTCAGCCTTACCATGCGCAGACTGCGAGGCTGCCCCGAGGAAGAGTGCTGCGCCGAGAAGAACTGCATGTGCGCAGACGCAGGAGCTGCTCTGACTGCGCATCCTGCCGAGTCGCTGTAGAGACGGTCAGTTCTGGGCCTGTCAGTCACAAGTCTCCTTTAGCAACTGTGTTCTTGATCAACGGTGTCCAAAACAAGGGCTTCAGGCGTATTATAATCATTACAATGTAAACACCCGGGTGTTTTTCAGGACAATAACAGAGTGATGCAGAAATAAAAGCACAAACTTATGTATTAATCCGTTTTAAGTTCAGTATTTTTTATTTAATAATTTAATAGGACACAGCAGGAGCCCCTGAGATCTCTCTGCTAGCAGGTACATGCAGATGTCGGAAAGCTAGCCTACCTGAGTGTGTAGCGTCCTCTAGACTGACCGACTGCCCGCTGCTGTCGGTGGAGCTTCAGCGCAGGGAGCAGACAGAGGGACACGGTACTGAAACAAGGCTGTTTACTGCACTAGAGTAAGGAAGCTCCGCAGACCGGAGAAGGGAGCGGAGCAAGCAGAGGGATGTGGCTTCTGAAAGTGCTGAAAAATATCATATGTAACCCCCCCCTCACACACACACACACACCCACCCACCCCCCTGTCCAGGAAGCTAAAACCAGCAGCACAGCAGCTGACCAGCACACGAGTGAGAATAGGGTTCTGGGCCGTTCATTGTGATCCACACTGAAGAAACTCAACTGCAAATCAAAATACGTTTTACAGATTTATTGCGTTAACGCAGAGTTTCTGCGCTGGGCCTCAGAGCAGAGGATGGCGCAGCAGGGTCGGGTCTGAGAGTCTGAGTGGGTGGGAATAGCTCGGCGCTCCTGCACGCAATGCTCCTTCCCACCCTCTCTGTTCCCAGATTCACAGGATATTTATGGTTTCCTGGAATTCTGTGCCAGGAGGGAACCAGCCCCAGGTGGAGTCCTTTCCACAGTTTCCTGTGACGGAGCGGAGGGTTCCTGTTCGTGGAAAGTCTCGACTTTCCCTGCCCGGCCGCCAGGCTGCTCGGGGACCAGGCGGGTGCCGGGGCGTGCTCGGGCTAGCGGCTCTGCTCCTGGAGCTGGGTCATCCTCAGGATCTGCAGCAGCACGGCCTGCACCTCCTCATCCATCCGGCCCTGGGGGTCACGGTACACACATCGTCACGCCCTCGCAGGCACGGCGGTGCTGCGACACACACTCGCAAGCTGCAATGCCCACAGACTGCCAGGCAGCAGGACCCACCTGGACCGCAGACAGCAGGTGAGCGCGATACACCGCCACCACCGCCCGGTGCTTCCGGTCCCAGTCCTGCGGACACACAGACACAGGCCAGGCTGAGCCAGACACACTCACAGAGGCAGGGAGAGACGCATGCACTGCGGTCTGCAGAGTCCAGCAGAAGACGGGCTGCCAGAGGGACGCGCAAAAGATCAGACAAAGGGAGGCTCAGTGAGACACACTGTCACCCCTCAGCTGGGCGTCTGTCCTCACCCACCTGGGCTCCTCACTCACCTGGAGCTGTTTCTGCAGCGCGGCTACACGGCTCTGCAAGGCCCCTTGCTGGCCCTGTGTGCTGGGGGCCACAGGAGGAGCGGAGGACAGCGGCGGGGTCAAGCTCCCTAGCGCCTCCTTCAGGCGGAACACCTCCTTGGACAGCTCTGTAATCTGACCACAGAGTCACCGGCTTATAAAGGCTCATTTTCACGGACTCTCCCGTCGATCGTCTGACTGCCCACGTCCGCCGCGCTACCTTGCGGTCCTTCTCCTTGACCAGGCCCTGGGCGTCCTCGATGCTGGTGCGCAGCTCCTGCAGCCTCCCCGACTGCGCCTGCAGGTCAGACAGCTGCTGCTGCGCCGCGGCCAGCTGGGCCTCCGCCGCCTGCCGCTCGCTCTTGTTGAACAGGGCCTCCCTCTGCACCTGGAACACCTGGGCACAGGCGTGGACAGATCAGGCCCAGCATCAGGAGGGCGAGGCGTTATAGGAAAGGAATCACGCTCTCATCACACAGCAGCCTGATGCTTTCCAGGTTTGGCCAGCCGCAGGGCTCTGGCACAAAACGATGAAGCAGGAATGCATCTATATTCAATACCACATGTGTGGATATGCTACTTTCATAATTAAAGAGGCAGCACAATTGAAATTTAGGGCAGCCCGGAGCTGGGTAAAACCTGCAGCGGATCAGACCGCTGTGCGTCGGGAGCAGGGGCGCGCCCCTCCAGCCTCTGACCTCGGTGCAGGTCTTCTCGTGTTTGCGCGTCAGGTCGTTCAGCTTGGCCGTGAGCGTGTTGACCTCCACCTGCAGGGTGCGCCGCTGGGCCTCGTGCTCCTCCCGCGACACGCTGCCCTCCACCGCCGCCCGGAGCGCGCCCAGCTCCGCCTCGCGCCCGGACAGGGAGAGGAGCGCCGACTGGGCCGTCTTCTCGCTCTCCTGCAGGGAGCGCTGCAGAGACTCCTAACACAAGGGAGAAGGGCAGAGAGTGAGACGCTTTGGAGTCTGTGTCCTGCGTTGTCCAGTGCCCAGCAGATGGCTCCCTGCCCTCCCTCACCTTCACTTTCTCATGCTCCTCCCGGGACACAGAGTCGTTCCTGAGGGCCTGGAGCTCAGCCTGCAGCCTGGAGCTCTCCTGCTGGGCCTGCCCCTGCCGGGCCTTGTCCTCCTGGAGCTCATGATGAGCCTGGGCCAGCTGGTCCTTGAGGGCAGACAGTGCCACCTGGTGCTCAGACAAGGGCACTGACTCCTGCAGCCTGGCGGTCAGCCGGGCCCCCTCCTCCTGCTCCGCACGCAGCTGATCGCGGGCCGCTGCCGCCTCCCGCTGCGCCTCCTCAAGCTCCGCCCTCAGGGCCTCCAGGGCCCCTCCCCCTGACTCGTGGGTCGTGCGCTCTGATTGGTCTAAAACGACATCATCACAGGCTTAGCTGCATCTGGCTGAAGCTTCTCTAATCATTAGCCGATCCAGAATCAATCATTCTAATAAGAATCTCAGAGGCAAGAGGCAGAGTGACAATAAAAAAACACAGAAAAACTGGAGAGGATTGTTCTCTACCAGCCTCCTATTTCTAAGCACACTTAAGAACATAAAGCAAGAAGGTTTAAGGACCACTACAGGACTTTTCGTTGCTAGTACATTATTGTAGCAGCCGCCACGCCGCTAACCTCAGAAACACAAGAATCAGACTGATGCTCGTGTGAGAGAGAGGGAGGCAGGCAGAGAAGCCCTTACCTGGGGCAGAAGAGGGCTCTGACCCCTCGGACTGGTCTTCCTCCTCCTCCTCCTCTCCGGCAGCGGGGGGGCGCAGCCTCTCCAGCTCCAGCAGCGCCTCGTTCAGCCTCAGTGCCGCCTCCGACCTCTCCCGCGTGATCTCCTCCAGCTGGATGGCCAGGCTCAGCCGCATCTCCTCAAACTCCTCCAGGGACACGGAGCCCTCCGGCGCCCCCCGCAGGCTCTCCTCCTCGCCTCGCCTCCCCGCTGCGTCCCCCTCTTGGTCTCTCACCGCCTCCCCACTGCTCTGCCTCTCTGCCAGGTCTGCCTCCAGCTGCCTCACCCTCTCCTGAAGCTGCCTTACTGCCTCCGGCTCCCCTTCCTCCTTCTCTGCTTCTCTATCTGCTAGGGCTGCCTCCAGGTCCTTCACCTTGTCTCTGAGCTGCCTCACTTCCTCCACCTGTCCCTCCTGGCTCCGAGCCTCAGAGTCCTGACTCTGTGGGGAGGGGGCAGCCTCGTCCGCCACCTCCACAGAGTACACCCCCAGCCTCACCTGCTCCCTCAGCTCCTGCAGCTCCAACAGAGTCTCTGCATGCCTCGCCTCCAGCCTCTGCAGCCCCTCCCTCAGCTCCCCGGCAGCCTCGCCCTCCATCTCGCCCTGCTCCCTCTGCCTCCTCTTGCTCTCCTCCAGCTCTGCCTCAAGCTGTTGGATCCGAGCCTCGGAGCCTTGCCTTTCTGCCTCGCCGGCCTCGCCGGCCTCGCCGGCCTCCCTGCAGGCCTCAGCCTCAGCCTGGGCCTGGGAGTAGCGCTCCTGCAGCTCATCGAACTCCTTCTTCAGGGAGTCGTACAGGATGGCAGGGATGAAGTCCTCGCCCGCGGAGCTCTCCATCTCCGTGTCGTCCTTCTCGTACGTCTCCAACATCTGGGGTCAGACAGCATGTTGCGGTTTTAGATGCTGGCGAGGTATAGGGAAGCGATAACTGTGTAACGTAATCCAGAGACTTTCTGGTAAAGCAATGGGTGACTGGCGTACAGCAGTGTGTTGGTCGCTGACCGACAGCGTCCCCAGTGGAGAGAGAGAGACGGACACAGGACAGAGAGAGAGGTCATGAGCTCCAGGCATGCAGAATGAGCTTGGTGAACTGACCCTGCAATGAAATGGCAAGAGAGAGGAGAGGGACAGCGGTACGATGCGAGATGGGAGTGCGGTGAACGTTACCGGCTCATCTGTACCCCCCACTGTGCAGCCAGGGGCTGCCCTCGAGTCTCCCTGCACGTCCGGATCGAGGCAGCCCCAGCGCCCCAGGATGCCTCTCCGATCCGGGCGCTCGGAGCTCCGCGCTGTCCCCGACAATGCGGGCTGCCTCACTCCCTGTCCTATTTAAGCTTCTCCGAGCTGCGCCTCTCTGTTAGGCACCTGACCCACTTTGTGGTGAACGCCTCTCCTGACAGCTTTCTATTTATACCCGGGCAGCGCACCATGGCAGAATGACTGGTAGGAGCCCCAGTGCTGCAGCCTTCAGAGACAGAGAAGGGATCTGGTGGATAATATCTTGCTGAATGTAAATATTGCTGCCCCAGTCCCCTGCAGTAGACTCATTCCTCCCTGCCTAGCACGGCCCAGTTTCACTGTTTCGCTGCGTCCTTCTCTCAAGGCTTAAGGATGTTGCCCTGCCAGTAGGGGCTCTGTGTCTTGCTGTGTGAGGCCTGTGTGTCAGCGTGCCTGTTACACTGTACCTGCACTTTAAGCAACAGGTCTGCATTCTGCACTGTCAGCTCCTCCACTTGTCTCTGCAGGGCAGCAAGAGAGTCGGGGTCCCCAAGGATCTGTGAAGCTGAAATGGAATTGGGGTTCCCCTGGCTTGAAACAGATTCCGGATCCAAGCTGCGGGACTGCCTGGACAGCAGCCGCTCTGCTCCTGGAGATACAGAGAGAGACACCAAGGTGAGAGGGAGGGTCACTCTTAAGGGATTTTCGGATGCATCAACTCAAACACATTTCCAAAACCACAAACGCCTCTAACGTTAGAGAGTGACCAGTCATTAAAAACTGTCCCCAGGGAGTCTCAGATTAACATTCTGAAAGAATGACGGGAAAACTATCTTCCCTGGGCTGCTTGCATATTAAGAGAATAAAGGTGGGATCAGCCAAACTGGAATCAAGTGATTGAGCGCTGACAGTAATCAATGAAGGGAGGCTGATAGTGACTACCAGACAAATGTTAACACAGCATGAATAAGAATCAAACAGAATCAGGTAATCCAATTGGGCTGTGTTCCTCTGTGTATTTTGTCTGTAATAAGCTCAGACCTTCTCAAAAGCCTCTGGTCAGCATGTGCTTTACAACTGGAAAACTGGAGCCAGAGCCTGACCTGTAAACAATCTGGCCCAGTCTCTTTCTCTCCCTATTTGTTGAGGGGGCTTCTTCTGGGCTCACCTGGGAAGTCCAGTGGCTCTTCGCTGTCGTCTGTGGCCTCGGAGTCGCTGGGGGCTCCCTCTATCACATGCGCCCCCCGCAGATCC